TGCCTGGCCGCCCTGCGGGGTCGGGGCCGCCGCGGGCTGGTTCGAGGGTCGTTGTGATCCGTGAATTCGGAAGCGGTCTGCCGAGGCTCTTCGCTCGCCTGTGCCTCCCTCCTAGGAGAGGTTTCAGGGTTCGGGTGATCTTCAGTCTTGGCGATGGAAGGGCTTCTTTCTAATAGAATGCGGTTTGGGGGGATGGGTGCTGGTTTTAGCGAAGATGGCACTGAACCGGTGTACTGAACACCTGCGCGGGCGGCTGCAGTTGCTACAGGTTTGCTTTTCGAAAGCTAATCAACTTTTGATTATTTTTTTTTTTAAGGGAGAATATTTTTTACTGCCTGGGTACAGTTCTTTCATTAAAGTATGCTGAATGCTTCTCTTCAATAAGCGCAGCTGTAGTAATGTTTCTTCCTATTTATTCTTTTGGATTATCATATTTGTTTTGGAGGGCACAAACATGGTTCAGACTAGGGTGAATGCAAGCAAAATGCCTCAGACTACCAGTACTTTTTTTGTGGGGAGAGAGATTTGGATTGGGTAAAGTTAGTCTATATATGAGCAGTGTTTTCCCAGTGTAACAGCTAGACAGCTGTGGAAGTCAGCACCCCTGTCAAACTTACACAGGTGTACCTTAGCTGAGAGGGATGCAGGTATTACCCCACTGAGTGAGGCTGTTTCTTCTTTGTCATCATACTTAAAGACTTATTTTTGGGATGAGTTACTGTGTGGAGCTAGACCTAAAGAGCTAGGCCCTACTGTTATTCTCAATCATGTGACATGCCTGTCTAACGAAGAGCGTACAGCTAAGACAGTATGTTGAAAGTGTGTATTTTAAATACATTGAGTAGCCCAACAAGAAAATCACCAAACGTGTATTTAACAGAGGAAGCATTAGTGTAGCTCTAGAAATAGCTATAAACGTGAAATTGAGTTTGTCTGTGGAAATACAACCCTAAATGTGCATCCTGTAGCACACAGTTAGCCATCACCTCTTATTAGTGCTGGTGTGTGGAAATTGCCGAATTGACTGTAATTATATTTATGAAGAGTGCAGTTCAGACCGCATTTTTTTTTCCCTGATACAGTATTTAAGGAATGATACCAAGGCTCTGAAGCAGTAATTGGCAGTAAGACATTAGAGTGGTTTGGTAATTTAAAATGGTGAGAGCATGGCTGCTGCTACTACAGAAACCTGCTAATTTCAGGAGCGTCTCTGCTGGGCCTCAAAGACTGTTTTCTGCAGTGGTGGATTTAGACCTCACGTTTAAATAACAATACCAAACGTTATCAAGAAGTTTTAACTGCTTAAATATGCTAAATTTGTAGTTGCATTCCTCCAGTTCTTGACCCTGAACTTTGATGTTGTTTTTTATGCTGGGAATCAGAAACAACTGGAACTGCGTAAGCAGTGGAGGTGAAGAATACAGTGTCAAACTAGGTTGTTTATTTCATCTTGACTCTTTCACATATTTTGAAGCCGTTGGCTTTTTTTAAATATAACAGCACTTAGTTTCTTAGGTAATGAACTCTAGGCTTATTCTGTAGATCTCTGCTCCTGATTAGTCACACTGACTGAAGGAGGAGAGCAGCTGAATGTTTGAAGAGGAACAGATCCACAAAAGACTGAAGACAGAAAAGTCCATTGGTGTTTGAAGGCTTTGGTGCCCAAATACTGCTGTCGATTTGGCTTATATGCTCAAATTGACCTGAAAACTGAGTTGGGCTCACAGTACCACTTTTAGACTGTCTAGTTAGAAATTATTTGGCTAAGACACTTTGCAATACAATTACTGAGTAGGTATACATTTCTTAGGCAAAGTGAGTATTTAATCATCTGTGTTGGAGCCAAATTTGATATAGGGGAAAAAATGATTAATCCTTATTTAACAAGAGGTTGTTAGTCTGTTCTAAGAGCCTGCAAAGTGGAATTGAGAAGATTGCCTTAGTCTACCTGTAGTTCTATCTGTGGTGTCATGAAGGAAGGCAGGATTGCACAAAGTGCCATGTCTGTCATGAGAGGTGAGGATGAGATGGAGACACCTAGCAAGTTCAGAATTTCTGATGTGGATACGCTGCCTGGGCATGCTTGTATGGCCCTCCCTTTCAGATCTTCACCCCTAGTGCTCTTGCTGCGTTGTTGTTGTAAAAACAATGAGAAATCCAGCTGAACTTAGGGAACACGGCTTCTGAGAATGACTGTCTTGAAAGAGACTAGTGAAGGGCCATTTCAATTTCTTTTGCAGGTGATGGGAGGTGATAGGCATTTTAGAGGAGGATAACAGAAATTCAAACTGAGAAAACCTTGTACTAAGTAGTTAGTGTAGCAGTGGAGCCTGAAGAGGTTGTGGAGTCTCCATCCTTGGAGGATTTGTGAAAAACTTCAGAGGTCTTCAAGACTTGGCTGGACAAAGTCGTAGTTGGCCTTGTCTAGTGTTGGCAATTCTCCTGCTAACGTGACTGAGAGGTTGGACTAGATGACCTCCAGAGGACCCTCCCAAGCAGCAGTTGTGTGATAGCTCTTCTGAGAAAATGCCTATGGGGAAGAATGGCTGGCTCTTATAAGAGAAACTTCTAAAGGTTATTTGGGGGTGGAGATGATAAATGTGAGAGCAGAGAGCCTTGCAGAACTGCTGCGTGAGATTGTGCCTAAAGGGAAGAGAGGAGCCACTCATTCAGAGCTCTTCATGTTGGCTGGGGAAAGTGGTGTGCACGAGAGGAGGAAAGTGCTGGCATGCTGCGCTCCTCAGGGGAGGTGGAGTCCTTCACCTTTGCTCTGGAGTGCAATGGACTGCTGAAGGAAAGGCAAAGGCTTCTAATATTTCGTACACAGTACGTGTCACTTTTCCAAGTTCGTTTCTTTTAATTGTTTATTCAAAATATTTTGAGAACAAATGCCCGTATTTCCCTTGAGGCGAATTGAGGCACATTAATGTGTAAAAGTACATAGTAGAGGAGATTTGCAAAATGCTGTATCAATATAAAGAAAAGATGAAAATCCCAAGTTTGGTTTCTCTAACGTGATTCTATGGACACATGTAATCATTGTGGACTAAATGATCCCATGTAGAATTTGTGTAGTAAAATTGATGAAAAATCCATTTAGGTTGCTGGAGAATCTTTTTAAAATTGATTTTTCTCTTCATAGGACTTGCTGCTTAGTCTTGTGGTATCCTAGCATTTTCTTATTAGTCCCTGAAAGCTGGTTATTAGCCCATAGCTGATGTTACAGGCTGTCATTTCCCTGCAGTTGAAACATGCATGTTTAGTAAGGGGTTAATACTGCCAGGCACAGTTTATACTGTGTTTGCATCTGTAAGTATTAGATTATGCCTCTGCACGCTGTATCTCTCTCAGGTAAAAACACCTATCCCCAAAGAGATTGCTGCTGAAATGTCAACAAAATTAACAGAACTAGCAAGGAGGGAGAAGATGAAAGCAGTGATACTTTGTCTTGTATTGGCTTTACATGGTATCCCCTTGTAGATGTGATAAACCTAATGAAGAGCAGTTACAGTAATTGCTGATTACCACCTGTCCTCCCACTGGTAAACGTGGCCTTTCTGTAGCGTGATTGGAGGTGGCTGAGTGGGAAAGTGTGGTGAGTTTAGAGTTTGATGGCGAAGTTTGCCCATGAGGGAAATGGGAGGATATGACAGTGCATGTCAGATAAATTTAATTAGGGTGTTAATTCTGTCCAGCCCAAATCTATTTTGAGCTGGACTTGGGGTATTTGAACCAAAAGCCTGTTACAAAGCTAGTTAAGCAGAGAAACTCTCCAGTGTCTCCAGGGCTAAGGACACTTTATATGCACTTTTGCTCTGTGGAGGCTCATAGGCAGACATCTGTGTAGCATGGGTACAGCAAAAGCACTTTGCTGCCTGGCCATCCGGTTAAACCCAAGTGATTTAGCAGTTCAACAACTTTTGATGTGTTTTCTCTTCACTTGTTCCATTGGGCATGTTAGCTACCCTTAGACTGCTAGCTGTTTTAGGTGTTTACCGTTAATTTTTACTCTGCTGTATGTGGATGTTTTAGGGAAATACTGGAAGTGTAAGAGAGTATGCATGTACACAGAGGAAAATGCATTTGGAGAAACTGCAAGATACATTTAGTTGAGGTTTCTGTGTTTGTAAACACTGACTGTGTAGTAGTCTGGTATAACTTTCATATAGTTAACTTGTTTGTCTTGTCAGTAATCAGGTAAGAATGGGATCAAGGTTAGTTTTGTTATCAAAGGCTACGTACTGAGCTGAATTAGAAGATAATTTTTGTTTGTCAGAACTGATAATATTGCATACTTTCATAAGGAACTGTTGCAGTGCTGCAAGAAGTAAAAGCTTTCATGTGATTTCATGATCAGTTTTCTTTCTTGTGTTTTAAGCCAATATAGAATCATGAACTGCAGCACGCTTTGGCAGTTGCTCTCCAAGCCACATTGGTACCTAAAGAGCAACAGTCTTGCGTCTTAATAATATATAAGCTTTCTTACAAAGCTGATAACAAAATCTGATAGCCTGTTCTCTGCTGTCACTCGTAGCTGTGAATTTTTTTATGGTGCAAAGATCCCTGCTTGAATTAGGAGGTAGCTGTTCTCTTTGAAGGTTAGTTCTTGTTAATTCAATGCAGGGTTGGTCCAGGCAGTTACTTTATCTTACAGCGAGAAAGAAGTATTTTAAAGGTGTTCGTGTTTCAAATGTGTCACTGCATTCATAGGAAAGAGTTTGCCAGTAATCTGTTTCTCAGTCTTTAAAGGCTAAATATAAAAAGAGCATTAAGCTGAAGAATTTTGTTTGACTGAATAAGGGGGAAGTAGTTAAGTCTGACTGCGTACTTCCTGCAGCTTTGGATCCAAAACAGGTGTAGAAAGTCAAAATACTAGTATGTGGTCTGGGTGGAGAACTTCGAAGGTCCTCTGCTCTGCTGAAGCAGAACTCATGAAAAGGAAAACACTTCTACCTTTGTGCTTGTATTGGCATGAGAAAGACTTTTTACTCTTAATTATTTCCTTTTGACATATAAAGACCTCATGTGATAAGATATAGGTAACCTTAAGATTGCTGCCAGAAACTATGTATGCCAGGAACTTGAGAAGTAAAAAAGCAAGAGAATGAGGCCTCTCTGTGTAGCTCTAAAGAATAATTTAAAAAACAACCAACAGCCATCAGCTTGGGTTTTCTTACTAAACAGAACTGCTATGTCATGACTTGACCACAGCACCTTGTGACTGTGCTCTTCCCGTGCAGGAAGTGCTTTTCTACATTGCAGACAGTAGTTAAAGGGAATCCTCTTAAACATCATTACTTTTTTAACTCTGAGCAGGTTGCCTCTCAAAGCTATCTTCACAGCATGCACGGAACAGTCTGTTGCTTTATAGCAAAGGTTCCTGGTTGCTGTGTCTACATAGGGACCCCAGTGCATCCTGGCAGAGCTGGGAAGTGAAAGAAAATCTGGATTTGGGATTAAGGAGGTTGGATATTGTGATACTCGCTGTCCTGTTGGAGACAGTTTAATTTGGTGTGAAGTACAACATTAAATCATATGGGTTTTGCCTTCCCAGTTTGTGTTCTACTTTGCATATTTGTCTCTTCTCAGATAGTAGAAATCTGTATTTTTATGTATTCTTAAATAGAGCCTGGCTTGACTTCCTGAAAGCAGAATGCATGTTTTTGAAGCAGTTTTAAGGCAATTTGGCTTGTTGAATAAAAAGCTCGATTCCTGCTTTTCTTTTTTCAAATTGCAGCTGACCTCTGCAGAGAGGAGCTAAACTTTGAAAAGACAGAGCACTGGATTTGTTATGTGAATAGCAGTTAAATTCTCAGTAAGGAATAATGCTGAGCTGTACATCACTTCTTGTAGAGTCTTCCTAGGAATAAGAACAGTTATAAAGAGTAAGAGCTGAGAAAAATCTTTTAATGACCAAATCCCCATAGAGCTACAGAAGAAGCCCACCTTTAATGCAGGTGCATTGGCTCTCCTTATGAATTGAAGCTGTGGAATGATGGTTACAGTTGTGCAGGTCCTCAAACCTGGTATCTGTGGAGCTATGAGCTTGGAACGAAGGTTGTGCAGTTGTTACTGGTCTCATCGAGGCACGTTTCTTTAACTATGACTGCTGTAAGGATCACACTGATGGCTGGGGATATTTTTTCAAAAGACTGTGTTGCCATCATTCTGCGCCTAAATCTCTCACTCAAAGAAGCATGACCCACAGATATGAGTATAAAAATACTTTTTATAGAACCATTTATACATCCTCAGCCCAAGGTACATAATGTGCTATTTTTGTCTTGTTCCAAGACAGCTTTCAGATATAAGACTGCCTCAGATTTAAATTTTTCATGGATTTGAGAGACTATACCAGCTACAGATGCTGGTATATATGCTACAGATAACCATGCACAAGAGCAAAAACTCTTGTGCTTCGAACATGCCTCAGTGTAGCAACGTCACCTTAAGTAGAGTGCCAATACATGTGGTGTAAAGTAATGCACAGGTTCCTTGTATGTATGGCATGACTTAAACTAGGTATGTCATCTTCAGCCATTGCCACGATTAGTCTGGCTGCCCTGTGGAGGGGTGGTCTTGTAGGAAACTCAAGCATGCTCTCCACAGTATGTTTTCTGAGTAGTTCTTCATCCTGAATTTGTAGCCTTATTTTATTTAACCCTGCAAATGAAATAATCTTTTCAGTAAATGGAAGAGGAACTGGTGTTTTCACATGGGTTCCTGTTTTCTGCATTCCCCCTGCATCCAGATAGGATGGATCCTGAGCAGAGATCCACCCATTGAGGGCTGATTTGAGGGCTGCAGCGATAGGAGGAGAGTTCACAAGGTTTCTGTATTTAAAGGTAGCTCAAGCATGGATAAATCTTGCACTTTGCAGTCCCAAAATCGCAGCTACAGTTCAACTGATTGTGCACTTGCCATGTATGTGTATCCCCTTCTGTGTTTGGAAAACAAAACAGCTTTAATTTTCCTGGCTCAACCTGTATATATATTATTCAAGAGTGGGTTACATACACAAGAATCCTGGTGTAATATCTTCTGGGTTGCTAGTTTAAGGAGTAAGTTAACAGTACGTGGGCTTGTCAGAACTCCACCTTGCAAATGAAACTTGAGCAATGTACTTGCAAGCCAAATCTTGACAAATTTTCAATACAAAAATGTGAAACTTCTTGGGATTTGTCACAGGGGTGAAAACTGACCTATTTCTTCAGTCTCAAAATCCTTAAATTGCTGTTAAGATCACTCAGTTAACCCAGAAAACTGATATTTTATATCATGATCCCATTTTTCAGCATAAAATGTGTTCTCATTTGAATTATGGAATAAACTTCCTTACAGTTCAACTGTTCTTATTTTTTAATTGGTATGCAGTATTCATAAGCCTTAAGATTTTGAGAGATGTGCAAAAGCTTTTTGGATTATTTAACATGGGATCTGATGGATCTTCTGACAAAGAGGTATGACTTGCAGCAAATCTTCCTTAAGCTCATGGCTTGAACTTCCAGCTGTTTTCCTTTCTCTTGTTGTGGAAGACTAGATCCTAGTTACTCAGCAGGCCCACTGAGCAGGAAGAATCCCGGGTATTTTAGGTAGTATGTGGCTTGCTGTGTCCTATTTAAAGTCTGAGTGGGTTGGATTGACTCCTACAGACACTTCCTGGTCTGCTGGGTGAATCAACTTCCTTTCTTTGGTTTTGGCCTTTTGACACTGTTTATAAGAAGAGACTGAAACTTAGCTTAATAAATCATCAGCTAGTCGTGGCCAAACAGTAAGATGACAAATTTTCTTATGTCCGGAGTCACAGTGCAAGTTGGGTATGCAGTTGTAAAGTCAATTCACACGTGACTTTATGCTTAGATCTCAGCTTTACAGACCAGATATTGGGTTTATAGAAGTCCTTTATTCCCACCTGGAGCTAGATTTTACTCACAGAATTTATCCTTGTATATTTAAATACTGTTTTTCAAAATGAGTAAGGTTAACTGACTCAATCTTTTTTGTTAATATCTGACAATATTCTCCGGACATCCATTCCTGAAAGTTGAAGCAACTTTCAAGTTTCTCTTCTTTTTAACCCTTGCACTTATGTTAAAAATGAACTGGCACGCAGCCAGCCTTGACCAAATATATTAAAACATGTTGGTAGCCCACTCTTCTCAAAGACAGATCCCCACTGGTAATGTAAATCCAACATTATTGCATCTTACTCATGATGAACATGTTAATGTGTTTTCGGTTTTGTTCCTGAGTTTCATGCTTCTATAATACATGAATTGCATCTGAAGAAATAAATCAGAACTTGACAGAATATTTAAAAAAAAAAAAACAAACCAAAAACCAAAAAAACCAAACCTGTCAAGTGCTAGTGTCAATTAGGAAATAAAATGAGTTTCCCAGCTGTGTGTTCAGAATATTTCTTAAACTTACAAATTAAGCCTTAAACACTGTTTCTGGGAAATGACAGTGATGATGTCTTTGCTGTAGGGTTGCTGAGTATCTGTTTTACCACTCATGATTAGCAAGATTTGTTGATAGAGGCATATTCAAATCATGGTCCTAGATGACATAAACTGTAGAATCCCTGTTAGGAATTGCAGTCATCCCACAAAAGTGACAAAGCCAAAATACTTGTGTTTTAGTATTGTTCTGTAGTACAGAAATTCCCCTTTCTTATCCAAGATATTAAAAAGAAAAATTGGAGCCTAAATTCATTAATATTAATTTTTTTATCTTGCATGTACTTCGTAGGAGCACTTTTTGTTAGCCTATTGTATCTTCAAGCGATACATGAACAGGTCTCTTCAGCTTCATAAATTGGGCATCTTAACTTGTGTCAGGTTTTTAAAAAAATTAATGCTTCCCTCAAAAGAAGCATGTTATGTGAGCAAAAGATAACTGTTAGAGGAGGAATACCTGCCCTGCTGCTGTTGTCAGCTATAACGTGTAACCTGCCTTCTCACAAGTGTGCATTGCAGTCTTTGTGCTAAACTATGTCAAAACTCTTATTTTAGGCATGAAGGTTATTTTAATCCTTTGTTCTCAAAAAAGTGATTGAATTTTGTTTAGGAGTTGGTGTGAAAGATATAATATAGTTTGGGGAGTTTTTAGCTGAGCTTTCTGAGCACATGTGACAGCATTTAAATGTGTAGAGTTGCTCATTTTTCCATTTTTACCTATGGCTAGAGGGATATTGAAGATCACGTAATGGAAATGAGCACTAACTCGTTGTTCCTGTGAGGTTTTTTGTTAATGTTTTTCTTGCTGAAAAGTATAGAGTTGGTTTAGTCTAGGTTAAGTGTCTTGCTTTTGCTCTTTAACAAAGCTAATCAATCAATTCTTGTATCTTCACAGCTTTTCCATGGTTTGGCATGGACATTGGGGGAACTTTAGTGAAACTTGCGTATTTTGAACCTATTGATATCACTGCAGAGGAGGAGCAGGAGGAAGTTGAAAGCTTGAAGAGCATCCGCAAATACCTGACTTCCAATGTAGCCTATGGATCCACTGGCATTCGAGATGTCCACCTTGAGCTGAAGGACTTAACAATTTTTGCTCGAAGAGGAAACTTGCACTTTATTCGATTCCCAACTCATGATTTGCCTACTTTTATCCAAATGGGAAGAAATAAAAACTTCTCAACACTACATACGGTGCTTTGTGCCACTGGTGGTGGTGCTTACAAGTTTGAAGAAGACTTTCGCACAGTAGGTAGCCTATCTTTCCTCATACTGAAGCTGATGCTAAAAGCATTGGTGATGATAGGTTAAAATAAGCAGTATTTTGAAAACTGTGGAATGCTCAAAGATCATTAATTACTCATTTGTTTTTCAGTTTTAAGTATGATAATCTAGAAATCTGCTGTCTGACATCATCATAGTAAACATGAAGATCTAAAGCTAACAGCTAATTAGAAACTTCCATTAATGCAGTGAAATGCAGGACACCTTTGTGGAAGTTAACTATTTTCTAATCTGCGTTTTCTCTGATGGCAAATGTCCTTAAACTGCTGAGGTGCTTGAGTCACTTCAGATTTTCTTTCCTAAGCAACCTTTGATGATAGGTTTTCAATGTTTGTGGGTGGGATTACCCTCACTAATTTAGTCCAGTGCATTGTTTAGAGATCTGTGACAAATTGCGTACCTCAAAGACAGTCTTTTCTCAACTGCAGAGCAGTTTGGGATTTTCCTGAGGTGTTTTGACTCTTCCCTTGATCAAAATTGATCATTTGTTTAGATGCAGTTTCTATCCAAAGATAGTTGTTACTGAGAATCTTACCACAGCATCCAGCATGCACATGTCCTAGTTTCAAAGTGGCTGCAGACCTCTTGTGCTTCTAGAGACAAGAAGACTTTCAGTAGCCCACAATGTTTGGTTTCAAAAATCTGCTTGTATTTCCATTCTTGTGCCAGACTTGCGCTGAGCTGGTACAACTGTTTGTGAGGTAGGGTCACAATTTGTACAGCAGAACTAATGCATTATCTAAAACCCCACAGAAATACTTCATGTTGGAACAGTTCCCCAACCTGCTCACCAGTGAAGCTTCACAGTTGTGCCATGTCAAGAAAAGCTGAAGGGACCTGGGGGAGGAGGAGGGGACTGGCAGTGCTGTGATCTGGTACTGCTGTCAGTCAGCAGTGTGCAATCCGGTCCAGTTGTGCAACTTCATAATCTAACTGCAGGCTGCTTTCTAAATGTGAGCTCACCTGATGCAGAGGTAGACTTTATGGGTGTTTTTTCTTGGATTAGCTGCCTAATTGGACTCTCCTAACTGTTGGAACTCCCTGCTGCAGAAAGGGAGAGAGCATGATCACTCTTTTTGTGGAAGCCTAGAGTTAAATTGGATTAACTATGGTGTGAGATTACAGCCTTCCTGGAATCCACACCACCTGTTAAATGGTCTCTCTGCTTTATGAGAGAATGGCAGCACAAATGTCACATGCAAAACAGAGGAAGAACTGTAACGAGCCTAAAGTCCCATAGAATTTCTGGCCTGTGGTTTTCTTGTGATCCTCAGAGTGTTGGTAAGTTCCAAAGATAGTATGATGCCATTGAGGCTTTTATCTTAGGTTTTTATTTGCTGACATCTTAGAAATGACTGTTTGACCTCTAAGATGGGGAGGAAACCCACAAACCTTGAAAAGATGTGTGAGTTTAACCAAGATGACACTTGATGGGGCCTCTAGGGTATTTGGTCACCTTTTTTTGATTTACATTGATGAAAAATGTTGCTATTTTTTTCAATGGATTAATGTCTGATTATCTCAAAAGTTATCTTTGGGCTTACCAAAGCAGATATTTATACTGCCTATTTTTGATTTGAGTCTGAGATCTAGATTTATAGTCACAGTAAATTGCTAATTGATGTATTCACAATTTACCTCTGAATTCGTTGTTGGCTTTATAGTGGGATTGAAGTTCCTGAATTAGTCGCCTGAGATACCTTCGTAAAGTTAGGCTGTGCAAATATATTCATAAATTTGTAGCATGTTTAAGTAATGTTAGAACCTGTTGACACTGTCTTTTTTTGGTTTTTTTTAACACAGATTGGGAACCTCCAGCTGCACAAACTGGATGAGCTTGACTGCCTTGTCAAAGGCTTACTGTATATAGACTCTGTCAGCTTCAATGGCCAGGCAGAGTGCTATTATTTTGAAAATGCCTCAGATCCTGAGAGATGCCAAAAGATGCCTTTTAACCTGGATGATCCATATCCATTGCTGGTTGTTAACATAGGTTCAGGAGTCAGTATTTTATCAGTCCATTCCAAAGACAACTATAAAAGAGTAACTGGAACAAGGTAACTTAAAAACCTAAATCGGGGTTGTTACTCTATGGAACAATGAGCCTTCTGCTTTCAAAGTGGTTCTTCTCTCTGACTCCCCCCACCTGTCCCTTCCCTCACTTTGTAATATGGAAAAGTATTTTATCTTTCCGTTACTGCTGCATTCATTGAAGCCCATTCCCATAGTTCTGTTGTTGAGGAGATTCAGCTAGTATCTTATTTATCAATTGATGAGTGTTAGAAGTGCTCTGTAGTGACAGTTTTATAGGTTTTGTCTTAAGTTTGATAATGTGTCCGGTGAACCTGTGTTTCTCTTGCTCCGTAAGAATAGATATGTCCACATATGTTTTACAGTAAATGATCAACGATCAGTCAGTGGCATGGGGAGTCTTCCAGCTTACGTTTCGAGGGTTTATAACTATTTGTTAGCTCTCACTGTATGGTTATCTTCTTGTAAGTGACTTATATAAGTGTTAAATTGATTGACAGCTGTTTGTGTAGTGAACCTTGAGCAAGAAAGCAGACAGCTTGGTGTCTAAGGGCTTTACTTGTTTATTTTGTTAGTCAAACATAAGAATCTTTGGTGTGAGGAAATAATATTTAAAGCAACTAGTTTTCTTTCTTCTTAGTCTAGGTGGAGGGACCTTTCTTGGTTTATGCAGTTTGTTGACAGGCTGTGAAAGTTTTGAAGAAGCTCTGGAAATGGCATCCAAAGGAGACAGCACGCATGCTGACAAGCTGGTTCGAGATATTTATGGAGGAGACTATGAAAGGTTTGGCTTGCCAGGATGGGCTGTAGCATCCAGGTAAGAGATCTTTTTGTTGGTTCTTTTGCTGATTTGGGGGGCTTCAAAAACAAGACTTAAACTATTAATACAGAGAAAACTGCTTTTGACAAACTTCTATTGTAGTCAAGTTAATGCTTTTACCCTAAAAGTATACATACTCAGTTTTCCTGAAGATTTAAAGCCACATGCAACTGCAGGTGCCTGCTAGCTAGGTATTGAAGAAATACCACTTGGTATGCCATATACAGATTTACATGAGTGAGAGGGAATGTGAGGTGATCACAGGAGTGGAAAGAACAAAGTGTGGAGGGAAAACAAAGCTGATTATTTTTGACTTCCTAGAATCTTTTAGTAAGACCATTGTCCAGAGGGAAGGTGAGTGGAAGATGGCATTTGTGTTGGTCTTATAGTAGTATCTCTTCACTTTTTTTTTTTTGAAAGACTCTGCTTTTTTTGATATGTGGCTGTCAGTACAGTCATCTGGCATAACATTTTAACTACTTTTGTGACTTACAAAGGCTGTTCATCATAAACAGTTTGCACCGTGAGAATGAATGTATTTTACTGGCAATGATAGAGGATTTTTGTCATAGCTGCAAGTTTTATTTCCATTGGGGAAGATTATTGGTGATGTTACAGCTTCTCTACCCTTAATAAATGTAAGAAGAATAAACTTTGGGAGTGAAATTGATGTGTACGTAAGAGAGTTCATTATATCTTTGCTCTTATTCAGTAGTAAGAGGTCTTAATTCCTGGTAACTTAATTCTTCTCCCTCTCCAGCCAGCTGAGGCCAAGCCTCTTGAGAGAACATTTGCTGAGAGGTTTTAATGTGTGCAAACTTTACACTTTTAGTCAATACGTCTTAACTCGCTCTGTATTTAGGTACTTTTTGTTCTTTAATGACTATTTGAATTTTAGAATAATCCAGATTCTGATTCTCCAAACTGACATAGATATGGCATAGAGTACTTAGTGGTAAAATACCATGTATAGCTCTGGATTCTTGTCTTGTTTTTTTTCTTTTTTTTATCATTCCTAAGAAATTATCCACTATATGTAGTAATGGAAATGCCCTTCTAATCTAGAACTCTTCATTTATATAGCTTAAATTGCAGTCTGCCAGCTGTTTATTTTCTATTTCAGAGGTTTGTGTTCCATTGTAAAACCATACAACCCATCTCTGATTTACTTCTACTTTGAGACTAGAGGATTGGATAGATACTGTGAGTGAGGGAGCAAGCATGAGAAGTTGGAGGATTCACTGGTCAGACTTAGGCATTGATTTAATTTACAGTGACTAAATTTGCAGCGTAGTCTTGCCTAAGAATAAGACTACTCTTTGCTGTAGATGCTTCTTCATGAAAGTCAACAATCTAAACAAAAATACTTTGGGGATCCTTACTGTAACAAGATTGACTGTTTCCTCTGGAGGAATAAATACACACATTGTAGTGTCAGGTGTCAAACTGCTGTATTTAATACTGACTTAAAAAGGGAGCTCCTTAAGAACAAACACAAGACTTAAGTTCTGTTATAGCATAAAAAATGCATTCTGAGATTACTTCAAATGCACATGAATCACTTTGTACTTAATGGAAATTTTTCCTGTTCTAGTTTTGGGAATATGATCTACAAAGAGAAGAGAGAGTCTGTTAGTAAGGAAGATCTTGCAAGAGCCATACTGGTCACCATCACCAATAACATTGGGTCTATTGCCCGGATGTGTGCAGTAAATGAGGTAAAAACTTCTGACGAGGAAATTATGTATCTATAGGTCTATTATTTGGTTTCAGATTAAATGGCTGCTAAAATGATGTATTATTTTAATCCTTTTAGTACGTTCTCAAATAAAACAAAGAAATTAATATAGTATTAAAGAACTAAAAATTGGTTCAGAATATTTTGACTGTCTCTGGAGAAGTGGGACAAGGATGTATTTGCCAATGGGGAGGGTAAACTGATGAGGAGAGCTTCAAACTAGCTTTGTTAGGGAATGGGGCCCAAAATCTGCAGTTACGTGAGGGAGCGGGGGAGCATGGGATGTTGTGGTGAAAGGACTTGAAGTCCCCTTGAGAAAACAGGATCATTGTGGGCCCGTCTTGAGTCTCTGTATACAAACAGATACAGCATGGGATACAGGAGGATGTGGAAGTCCTGCTTCTTGTGAGGGACAATCCTGACCTCTGTTGGAAGGGTGACATGGCAGATCACAAGCAACCCATACTTCTCACTATGCTGGGGACAATTTTCTGACACAAGTGCTAGGCAGTTTGGCTAGGTAAGCATGGTGCTGGACCTGCTGTTCGTGAGTGAAGTACTGGTCGGGGATTTCAGTGACAGCCTTGAAATAGTAGAGTTTAAGATCTTGAGGAAAGTGAAGAAGGCAAGTAACAGAATGGAGACTCCAGATGGATTTGAGTAGAACGGGATTCTGGTTTGGGGGGGATTTAGGAAGGAAGATATTGTGGGAGGTTGTCCTAATGGCATAAGGAGCCCAGAATAGTTTGTTGATCTTCCAGGATAGCATCCTCGTGGCAAAAGCAAAAGGTGGGGTACAGACTGGTTAGGAGGTAGTGTTCCAGAAGAATGGAGGGTGCCCTGAACATGAATCAGCAGTGTGGATGTGCAGTGCTGAAGGCTGACTTTGTACTGAGATGCATTTGCAAGGACATAGCCAGCAGGTCGAAGGAAGTGATACTTTGGGCATGACTTCTTTCCCTTCCTCCTCAACCACCACCGGCACTTCAAATTGTTTAGACACCTTTCTTCTTACTAGTTGATGCAGAGATAGTTTCCTGCCATCTTCTATTTCTCAAAGCTGTGCTAAACAGAACTAGTTTCAGTGTGATTAGCATGGACAGTCAAGAACCTATGGAAGAATACTGAATTTAGGCATAGAAGATAATGGGTGTCTGAGCACCAGGGATTTCCTCATTCATGATCAACAAACTTTATCCAAAGTGAGGTTTAGTAACAGCTTTCTTAGAAAAGACTAATGGTAACTGTATTTAGAGCTCTGCTTAAAATCTATGGGCATGATAGTCTCAGATATATCTTGTTAGCTTCAGTAACCCTCCTTTTGCTTAGGAGCCAGACTAATTTATTTTTTTGGTTTTAATATTGCAAATTCTCCCTCAGTTTCCTTCTCTGTCTTTCTTTCATTACTGTCTTGGCAAACAAAGTTAACTTTGTGTGTGTTAAGTTAATTTTAGGTTTTTTGCTTTATGGCAAAGCTTGATAACAAAAGAGTTAACATGAGGGTGAAGTTGAAAGGACATATGTCCTGGTTTAGCCACAGCTGGCAACTGAGCACCATACAGCTGCTCGCTCACAGCTGCCCTGTGGAATGGGGGAGAGAATTGGAAGAGCAAAAGAAAGAAAACTTGTGGGTTGAAATAGAACAGTTTAATAATTAAAATAAACTAATAATAATAAATTGCAATGAAAAAGAAAACAATGAGAGAGAGAGAAACAAAACCCAGGGGGAAAAAAAGAAGTGATGCAGCCTCTCATCACCTGCCAGTTGATGTCCCTGAGCAGCGATTGCTGCCCCCAGCCAGCTCCCCCCAGTTTCTATACTGAGCATGATGTCATAAGGTATGGAATAGCCCTTGGGCTAGTTGGGGTCAGCTGTCCTGGCTGTGCACCGCCCGCCCCGCCAGCTTCTTGTGCACCTGGCAGAGCAGGGGAAGCTGAAAAGTCCTTGACCAGTGTAAGCACTGCTTAGGAACAACTAAACTATCAGGGTGTTATCAGCATTCTTATACTAAACCCAAAAGACACCACTATGCCAGCTACTAGGAAGAAAATTAATGCTATCCCAGCTGAAACCAGAAACATACTAATAGTTTGGGGCAAATGTATGTGATTTATATTTAAAGGTGGGGCTAAATGAGTACAAATCAGAGCTCGTAAACTGCACAAATTGGCTTTATTCCAAGTTTTTTTGGTCTAATTCCAGCTATGTCACAGAACTACAAATTACAAGAAATTGTTAAAAGGGAGACACAAACTTGTGTCTCGAACTGATGTATAAAGATAAAATGGACTTAATTATTTCGGCTTCCTGCTATAGAGCAGAATTATGTCTGGGTGCCTAAATAGTGTGTTTACTTTGTTGTCACTGTGAACTAATGAAGATGGTGAAAAAGTTGCATGTTAGTCATTTGACTACATGTTGAATTGTCATACTAGTTTCTGTAACAACTTGGATACTAGTATTCATCTAATGTAATTAAGCGCTTATTTAAGCACTGTGTTAAGCACCAACACAATTACATTTTCTTTGGTTCTTGGTGTTTAATGTTGCTTCCACTTAATGTTGGATTTATTTCAGTGAATGGGGAAAATTAAATGATTTCTCACTTTTTTTACATTTGACTTGATTAAAATTCACAGCTCACTTCCAGTATTTAAGTCTTAGTCTAATGTTATGCTGAGGTATATTGAGGTCTGAAGATGAAAGGAACATCTGTTATGTCTTACTGTCTTCGGCTTCTTTACAGTGCTGCCTTGTTGCATATGGATCAAGCAGCATTGTACAGGGCTATGAAGGCATTGAGTCTTCTCTACCAAATATAAGTGGTTTTCATTGAATTTCACTTTTAGCTGGGCTGTTTCTTTGGCTTAATTACTGAAAATGCTCACTTAATTTGAAACACAAATGCTACTTCTCTGTAAATTAAGTCCTTTAATTCTTGAGGGTTGCATGGTTTTTCCTTTTCCCCAAATATGTTGTGTTTTACATTTTGGAACCATGTTTTATTTGTGGGTTGGGTTTTTTTGCCCTTGCTTGAGACAGTCTGTTCTTTCATAGCTTAATTTTTCAAAGCTGTGTTAAATAGTGAAAAGTGCTAATCCTTTGCTGTTTTTCTCTTCCTTTTAGAAAATAAACAGAGTTGTGTTTGTTGGCAATTTTTTACGTGTGAATACTTTGTCAATGAAGCTTCTTGCGTATGCACTGGATTACTGGTCAAAAGGCCAGCTGAAGGCCTTGTTCTTAGAACATGAGGTATGCTGTGGTTCATTTATCTGTATGTATTGTTTTACCATAAATCAAAAATGCATGTATTGAGTAGCTCTCGTGTGTGTGATATCCTGAGACACCAAGTACTCGATAAACATTGAAAATACAAGGAGGTTTGTCGTACTGTATTACTTCTCTGGGGACAACTGTCTCTGCCAGGGGAGTACTTCAGTCACTTTGGGGCATCTCAGTTCACACTATAGACCTTTGGAGAGGGACAAGAAAATGTTAACCTCTGCACTGATGAACCTTAATCGAACCACAGTCTTTCCTTGGTTTTGGGTGGAAACAATAATAAGTATTGTATTTCAAAAGACTACGGAGAGAGCTAAAGCATGGGCCTTTGAAATACTTGTATTGTTCTCAACTGAGCTTGAGCAACATCCTGCAAGTCAAGACTGCTTTTAACAAGGACTGCTTTCATACCACCACAGATACACCTTAAAGTTGTTGTAGGGATTTTATGCTCTGAGACTAACCTGCTTTTGGGCAGCTTCTGCAATCTAGATCAGTATGTAAGTCTGAAAGAGTTGACCTCTTTTGGTTAAAATATAGGCAGCCAGTATTTATTACAGGTGCAACAGTTGGGAGATTTGTAGCTTCTTGGCAGTGGGCTGGCAATTTTTGGCCTCATTTTGTTGGTCTGCAAATGTTCCAGCATTACATCTATTGCCCTTTCAGTTGATTCTCACAACTTTTTTCCTTTATTGCTTATCCTGAGACTGACGGTAGTCTGTCTTGGTGCTAGTATCTGCAGTAATAGCAGAACAGTTCCATGTTAGTTCTACCCCTATCAGATTTTTCTTGGTCAAGTGTAGATTCCAAACACTTCTGTGTTTCATAGTTATAGGGAGGGGGAACATTTCACTTCCCCAAAGGGGTAAAGTAATCTAGTAGGAGAATATGGTTCTTTGTATGCAGGTAAGTATACAATCAAAAAAAAATGGTATTAAAGCTTGGACATAATTCTTTAAAAACATGAGGTGCAGTGAGTTTTAAAAATTTTTTTACTTGTACCTTAGGAATAGTGTTGCTATGGATATTGAAGATCCTTTGGCAACAAAAATATGCAGCTTCTCTAGGAAAAACAAAGCAAACCTGATTTTCATGCTTTAGGAGTCACTGATACATATCGTAGAAGTCCTGCAGTGTATGAGGAGACTTGGGGTGAAATCTCCTAAAGTTAAACTAGATAAGAAGGATAAAATGTTTGTTTCGTAATGCCTTGAAAAATTATTATGAAATATTATTTATTAAAAGTGTATGGTGTTCTTTCTGGAGCATTGGTCCACCAGATGCTTTGTTGTCGTTGAAGTGTGATTAGAGCAGGATTTAATACCCTACTTGACCTGAAATTTTTTTGTTTGTTTTGAACAGGGATACTTTGGAGCTGTTGGTGCTCTTCTTGGGCTGCCAAATTTCAGTTGAAAGACCAGATGTCACTACACTGAACTATTTTCCACCTGAATGACACTTGTTCATGTCAATGGGAACTAAATCTGGGGAGGACAGAAGAAAATAGCAGATTTTCTGTAACTGTTTTTAAGAAGTGATTAGCTACTGAATATTGTCATTATAAGGAAGGGGTTTTCACTCTCTTGGGCATTGAAAAGTGAACTGTTAGGGGATATCATTTCTTTGGTACATGTAGCCAGTATTGAACTTTTAATATGCAATACATCCTCTGAAAACAAGCTTCCAGAAGGACTGCCACACCTTTTAAGTGCTCAGCATGAAAATACTGCAAGTTTACTCCTGAGGCTTTAGGCCCATCAGTTTTGTATATAATTGATGAATGAAGAATTATTTTCATTAGTTGTACTACGTTACGAGCACAGTTTCCCACGTGTACTTACAGAAAACAACTTCAAAAACAGTAAGGTACTATCTACAAGATGAGGGAACTGTAGACAATTGCTTCCCTCAGTAAGAATAGTAATTATTTTATGTGTAATGAAATAATATTAATGCTTTAATTTTCAGTGGGAAGAACAGACACACAAAAATCAGCCAAAGCAGCAGATTAAACAGTTGATGTTTTGAAGGTTTGGTGAAGATGTTCACTTGCCCTCTTTATTTACTTGAAGATACAGCTGGTATTTTGGGAAGATCCCTTCTGTCTTGGGTTGGGTTTGGAAAAGAATTTAATGATTAATGTATCATTTGGGCTTGGGGTTTGTTTTTGGTTTTTTTTTGAGGACATGATTTCCAAAATGCCTTCTGGTTTGGTTTTTTGTCTCAAATTCTGACATCATGTGTCATTATTTGTAAAGGTACGACAAAACCTGAGAGAATTAAAGCCTTGTAAAACAAATTAAATATTGGACCTCATAATTCTGATGCTTTGGCTCATTTCTGTAGAGGTTTGGAAAATTTCTGCCCCATCCTACTAATTTGAAAATGTAATTTTTTAATTTTTTTTTAACTTTGTAAGATCAGATGAGAATCTAATTAGATGTTGAAAATGAAAGGTTGTTAGCTTGCTTTTGGATTTGGAAGCTTGTTTTTGAAAGTTGAGGACAGCATCAGAGTTTGTATTGCAGCACCAAACGGACCAATATTTAGTGCACTTGCAATATAGGAACCATTCATCAAATTGTGGCCTTGGGATAAAATCCGTACTCTGGAACTGATCTTTGGGTTTTTCTGTATACTTTTGAAATTTACAGTTGTGATTACTGTAGTAAGTTTAGTCCTGAAGCCAGGGCATGAGATCTTAAACTTGTAAGAATATCAAACAGTTATTAGCTATGTAAGTCTTTGGACTAAAGAGCTACCCAATTTTCTGATACCATTTTAATGTTAAATATTTCCTATAAGTGCACGAGGAGCAACCAGAGTAGAACACATTCGTATCTTGGGGTTTAAGGTATTTTTAAAACTGATTGCTTGAGTATTCCACAGCATGGCTGTGTGGTATTCATAGACACATCCACCTAGTGTGTTAGAAACCTCTATGTGCTATTTTCGGTCTTCTCTTTCTTAAAATTCAAAGCTGCATACTAATATCATATACTTGGTTTTTAAAAAACAAATTCTGTGGTCCTTTAAGAGTATATTGACTTAGAGTAGCCAATTCATTAAGCCCAATGCCAATTGCAAATGCAGTTCCATTTACTGTTGCTTTTCCTGGTACTTGTACTACATTGCCATCGTGCTTGCTGTGTTTCATTTTAGATACAAAAACCTAAACAAGAATTACACTCACAGTTCAACTGATCTAATGCTAAATCAGAGCACTTCAGAAAATAAGTGAATATGGTTTTTATAGAATCTCTTTATAAATGCTGTATAGTGTTCCTTTTGAGTTACAATTGACTATAGAAACTAACCTTTATTTGGTTATAAAACTTTGTAAAAACTTAATTTTCTGAATGTTTTGACAGCCTCCTGAAAATTTTGCAAGCCAATTGTGTATTTTTCTTGGAAAGTGAAGTACTTTAAGACGCATACTACAGCTTGATTAGAAACAGTTCCTTTAGACCATATTTATTGCTACTTCACTTCTCGCTTTGTGATACTGAAAGAGAGCTGCTCTTGAAGCCGTAGTTAAAGTTACTTGTATAGTTAACCCAAAGCACATGTAGAAGATGATTGCCTAATGACCATGGTTCATTTAAACCATTTGAAGTTGATCTGACCTAAGATACATTTTTAAAGTAAATTGTACAGAGTTACAGAATAAATTAATGGAGTAATTCTTGAATAGCTGTACTGTATAGAAACTACTGTGAGAATCAAAGTATGCCCTACCTCTATTTTACTTCCCTTGAGCTTCTAAAAAAAATTGGCTTCCTTTTGTTAGTGTTATCAGCACAATTGTTACTTCATTACAAGAGCAACCAGAGTTTTCAAGCCCTACTGTAAAGCCCAGGGGTCCTGTATTTAAGCCACAGGTTTGGGTTTCATCTCCATTTTCTCTCACCTTAGAACTTGTTACTAGAGTTTCCAAAGATTGACTCCACCACCAGTAGAAATGCTAGGCATCACAAATAGTTGGAAGATAAGCCTTGAAGTCTTTTCATCTAAATTCTCTTCTAAATAGGTTGAAAAGGCTTGTTTCTTTTAGACAAATCACTGAAGTAACTTCCTTTTTCCTGATCTTCTCTGTTTTTACTTTCACCCTTGCTGTTTCTTTTCCTCAAAGCTAACTGGCTGAAGCAGCTTTAGAGTGATTCGATGTGATGTACTACCCTAGAGAAAACCTGGGGTTTTCTCAGGGCTACTGTTGTCTTCTCAAGTGGAACCACTTCTCTAGAGGAAAGTTGTGTGATATTTCTTCTTAAAGTTCATTTTGAATGTGTAATTGCTTTCAGCTGAATCAGCCATTTGAGTGCCTGTTAATTTTTTCATATGATGCCAGTTTTGCTGGTACTACTGGGACTTTATCCAGAAGGTTTCCTAACCAGTGTTGCTCACCAGAGAAATGGCAGATAATATTACTGGCCATGAAAAATGACCATGAAGATCATCCCTTCAATCCAGTGTAGCTAGAGGTGCCAGGAAAACAGCATCACGTTTCTGACTTTCTATCCCTGTAGCCCTTATCTTGGGGTAATGCTTTTGCGTTTCTTGGTGTCATCCCTCCAGCTTGGTCTTTTTAAGTATGACGCACAGTTTTATTGTATTAGTATGTCCCTAAAAATCGTGCAAGTTTTTAGTCAGATAGGTACAGATTATTTCTGGCCAAAGAAGTTCTTTTTTAGATGAAGCTATTCCAAATTGGTATGGCTATTAAACTTAACCACTTTCACCTTTCTAGTTCTACTAGGGTAACTGCAATTTGAATGAGAAGGGAACAATACATTTTGAACACTTAGCAAGCTGGAATGAACGCATCCTCAGCATTCTTTACTGAAGCTAGCAGAGGTTTAAGTATAAAGACTTGTTCATTCTTTTAGTAAAGCCTCAATAAATTCAACAGTTTAGAGATAAAACAGCACTGATACGTTTTCTGTCTTACAGTTTGGTCCAGATTTTCAAAAGTTCTTCAGATATCCGACCTGCCTTTTGAAGATCTGTCCCTCTCTCTCTGTAGTGTTCTGCATGCAAGCACCTCTGTGATTGTACCAACATCTCCATTCATAATTTGAGAGTTAGGGCGTGGAAGGAATGAGACCACATTGCCCCACTTACTCTCAGCCTCTATATTAAGAACAAAAGTTCAGTTCTGGCTTCTCATATCAGCTAAATATTCCTTCAGTAGTACTGTGAGATTCCTACCTGCATTTAAGTTGGTAGTATACATACAAAGGTGATCATATTGCCTTTAAAGGTTGTAATACTAACTCTTTGTCTCTATCCAGTGTAGGTCTTGAGGAAATACCTACTTCCGGATAAGTTGCAATAACTTCTCATTTCTAAATGTTTTAGAGTAATGGTGGCATTTTAACATTTGGAACTAATTAAAGTGTCTTTTATCTAGAGCAAATCTGTGCTGCTTAAAGACTAGATGGTGTCTTATGCATTCAGTCATTAACTTACATTAATGCCTAAATTTACATTCAACCTATTTTTAAATATCACTTTCACTGTTCACATTCTGGATACTTGATGGCTATAATCCTGAGGAAACAGCTTAGTTGAGTTCAGAGCAGAGATGAAGGTCAGTGTGGTTCTGTTGAGCTAGTTGTGGACAGCTTTTTATCCTGAGCCCATTTGCACACATAACGAGCTTAGTGTTTTCCTAGTGACAGAGCTTTCTGCATCCTTTTTTTTTTTTTTTTTTTTGGATTATGTAGGCTTAAAGAACACATATGTAACAGAGCTTTGTTTAGGTTATAAACTGAACAAAAATCTGTACATCAGATCAGAAGCGTTTGGCCAAGACCTGTTGGTTGCAGTGCAGAGCTAGGAACATGCTTGACACATGCAGTTACTGTTTTGGTTGTATTAATTTTTCCATTTCCTGGTAACGCACAGTGGGAAGGGGGAGACTTAACAATCATTGTGGATAAAATGGGTGAATTAAGTCCTCAGACATGACCATGGGAGCTGAAAAAAAAAAAAGTTTTATCGCAGTATAGAGGGATAATTCTCTGCTTACATTCTTTAAGTTTTACTGATATATTCCAAAGTACATCACCAGTATTCTGTCATCTGTGATAAAATTACTAATTCTTTAAGTTTAAAAAGAGTCTGCAAAGAAGCCTGTTTTATTATAAGTTTTGTTTACTTCACACATGTAAAGCATATTAAGTATTTTTAAAAACACACTTTCTGAAAATATCTCAAAAAATGCTGTAATATATTTGTAATTATTAATGTGCTAATGGAATATGTTTGAGCAGTCTAGGTTTGCATAACTGAGTCCCAAATCCTGCTCACTTTAATTGCTTGAGTAGATGGTTCTCTTAAATGGGGACTGTTTTAAACTGAGCAAGATTTGGCCTCGAGGTCTTCTGCCTGGAGAAGACAAAAAAAGCTGGTGCTAAATCATTTGTTGAAAATAAAGATTCTAAGTAGAAATTGTAAATAAAGTATTTATGACCTGGTCCTTTTGACAGACTTAAAATTTATCATTTTCAAATATTTTTTTGCCTTATTTCAAGTGTCCCTTTTGGGTTTTTTAGAGTATGTGGACTGTGTTTGTTAATGTGGCAAGTCATTGGCAGGTTTGGCTTCCTGTGCTACTTTCTGTAAGGCCAGTAATATTGCCGTTGTGCGTTATGATACGGATGACTTTTCATTGCTGGATTTCAGTGTCATCCTTCATCTTGTTTTGTCATTGTAGCTGTTTAAACAAATAGTGTCAAGTAGAGCGCAATTGGCATTTGTTCTCTGCTAAAACGTCAAGAAAATCAGCCATTACTGTAAGTATTTGGGGAAGTTGTTGAAAATTCAAAAATACCCATTTAAAATAATTTTAAAAGCTAAATGTGTTAATTAGTCTTGCCTATAAAATAAACTGGAATATGGTATATCAGTTGCTAACCTTTGCTATAAATTGCTAGCATTTCACAATTCTTATAGCATCAATTTAAGAACATTGTAAATACAAGCTTTGGGAGGAGGTATATTAGTTTCAGATTGTATGTTACAAAATAATTATAAGACTAGTGAATTAGTAGTTTGAGACATGAAATTACAACATCTAGAACATGAAAATTAGTGTGTTGATGTTATAGTGATAGGATATAGAGGGCTTTTGATAATCTGCACTTTTTTACATTTCTGAGTTTTGGCATTTTAACAAACGAGTATTTAATTTTCCATCTACTGTCTCATCATATGCAGGCCTTCTTGTCACCAACTGCTGTCTTCAAATGCTTGTTTTAGTTAGCAGAATGGACAGGCAGATTTATGAATTGTAAACCCTTGTAGGATGGAAGTTCTCCGAAGAGCCATTTGGTTAAGTTGCCTTATTCTATTACATTGCACTCACGTTATGTCTCCACTTTCTTGTTTACTGTTCAGACACTGAAGATGTGATGTAAAAATGTGCTACAAATTTTTATTCATAAATTACTGATTAATACCTTTGTGTCATCTGTTCGTACAGCTCTTGTAAATGATACCTTTATGCCATCTGTAATACAGCTCTTGTAAATTGTTTAAATTATTTTTCTTTTTATAGATTCTCGTTACTGAATGTACAGATTAGATCCCTTTAATATGTCACCAGGTAATTTGGTTGGGGCCCAGATATGGCCAATGCTGTAATTCATCCCATCAAAACTGTAAATAATTCTTTACTGCTTGTTTGCATGAAGTTTGGATTTCATTTACTTTGTCACAACCCAACTCCTCTGTGATGGGCCTACTTTTTACAGTCTATTTTCCTGGGTTTATTACCATTTGTTCTGTATGAATGTTGAAACAGTACTTTGTCTTTTCCTAATAAATAATTTGAGATTGTTCATATGGTTTGCCTTTGTTTGTGGGTTTTGGGGGAGGGATTTCTGGGATTGATTTCCCCCCCCCCCATCATAAATTGCTGTGATACTTGGTATACTGGGGGTTGTTGCATAACGTTTTATACTAAGGAAACGTGACTGGTGTGGTTTTCATGCTCACTTCTTCCTCGCTTTTAATAAAAGCCTATAGTTCAGAGTTCCTAGATTCAGGTCCCCTTTTTAAAAACATTGGATGTCCTAAAGAACATTTAGTTTTGCAGTCTTGAAGTAGAACGCATGCTGTGAAGCTACCATCAACTTTTGCCTTCCAAATTAACTTGAGAGCACGTGCTGATTCATGCACGCAGGTGGTGACTGAGTGGTATTTTCCTGTTGAATAAAATACTTACTGTATAAACTGCACATTACATATAACTGCAATTACTCTTCTTGGAGTTGTTCTTTGCTTATGTTTTGGAAAAGCTAAATTACATTGTCCTGAAGTTGTTCTGACTGGGTGCCTAATGGGCAAGAAGTTGTCAGGAATGAGGTCTGTGTCACAACAGCACGCTGGCAGTGCGCCTTGCGACAAGCTTGCTGACCTCTGGGTGAGAGGCTGTTCTTCAGGGTTCGCTGTACAAATATTTTAGCCATCCAAACTACAAATCTTTGTTTTAAACTGCCAAAAAAGAAACCCTGAAAATTCCATTTGGTGTTGTGCTGCCATCCAGTCTGGCAAAGAGGAGCCCTGCACCACAGTGACTCCTTCTGCCTAGGGGAAGTGAACTTGTAAGAAGTAAAAGTTCCTTTACAGGTTTATGGGGCATTGATTTCTTTGGTTTGCCTTTTTTTTTTTTTTTTTTTTTTTTTTTTTTTTTTTAATGCAGAAATACCACTTCTTTCTTCAAGCAAACTGCAGTAGCCTTTTGTGGAAGCTGGTTTGCTTTTCGGCTGGGGTCCTTAACCTCTTCCTGGTGCAGCCTGCGTGCAAGCTCAGGGGAGGGGGTAAGCTGCACGAGCTTCATGTAGTTCTATTTTACCTGTGGATCTGTTTTTTAAAAAAAAGTTTGTATGAAACCAGTGACCTCCTCTTGCTGTAAAAGTGTTCAGTTGTATTTGAATTTTTATTGGACTCGGAAATGCAAACCTCTAATTTAATAATCCTTGTAACTTCCCTCTTTTTAGAACTGTGGCTTAAAAATGAAGTTTGCCTTTTGTCCCAGCGTGAACCCTCCCTGCTCTAAAGGTGTTTCTGTCCATCCACGGGTGTTCGATAAGTATATCCACTTCCTGCTGTTTCAGGCTACGGCACGGAACAGCGGTAGCGCTCAGCTTGTGCGCAGCGCGTGGGAGGTACCGGGGTGGGTGACCACATTCTCCTGTTGCCAGTCTGGAGGGAGCAGACGGAGCAGAGCACCGCTCCCTGGGGACTCGCACAGCGTCTGCTGCACCACGAGCATCCCTGCTGTTAGGGCCACAGAGCAATCGGGTGCTCCGTGTCCACAGGCAAGATGGGGAGAGAATTTTTATGCAACCTGTATGTAGTAGAGAGTTAATTTGGTAACGGTGGCTCCTTTGGAACCTTACAGGGCCATGGGGCTAGTTGCCTCCAGGAGGCTGCGGTAACCCTGTGGCTGGCCCAGGCTCCTAGCGTGGGCCCTGGTAGCTGGATGCAGGAAGGGAAATGACGAGAGTAGCTCTTCCTGCCAGTTAGGGAAGAAGCAGAACCAATTTCCTGTAGGTAAAAATTTCTCTTCCAAGGACACAGCAAAGCTCTTCAGTTCCTGAAGGTGCCTTTCTTGGGAAGGACATAAAGCTATGCCATGTAGAAAGGAAATGTGTGCACTGAGAGTGCTTAAGGTCTCAGGAACGTGCTTGAGTGGGCGAGGGGCTTGGCAAATTTTTAACTTGTGGAGACAGGTACCGCTGTGGCGTATGAACACTTTATCCTCTCGACCCTTGAGATTCTGGTTGAGCAGTGCTGATTGAGAGAAGCTTTTGGCCATGGTTTATTGCAGCGTTCTGTGTTGTGCTTCTTTGTGTAATTATAAAGGAGACTGGCATGCCATTTTTTTGTCCTAAAACAGCTTACACATTGAGCAATGAGTAGGGGAAATATTCTAGCAGATTTTTGCATGATGAAACCCAAATGGAAGAAAGATGCGAAATGACAGCGTATTTCGAGCAGATGATGAAACACATTCCAACAGCTGAGGGGGAAGAAATACAAAGAGTAAAGATTCATAGCCAAACTCCAGACTCTGCAAGTCCTGGAAGGTAGAGGGCCTGCACTCAGTGTGATACTAAAGCAGAGTAAGCACTTAAGAAATTCCTTGCAAAGTAAAATGTGAGTAGTTTGTACTGCTTGTCATAGCCCTTTGAGTTTGGTCGTTCAGCCAATTTTCCATCTGTCACCTATTCACTCTGTATTTCACCAATTTGGCTCTAAGGTAACTATGAGAGATGATGTCAAAGGCCTTGCTAAAGTCAGGAGGACGAACAGCTGATGCTCCTCCTTCAGCTACAGAGCCAGGCATCACAGAAAGCTGTCAGGTCCGTGAGGCACAGTTTGCCCTTGCTAAAGCCGTGCTCTTCCTACCACTGCCTTGGGCTTTGTGTGCCTGCACATGTCTTCCAGTAAGCCTTGCTCCGTAGCCTTCCCAGGTACTGGGGTGAGGCTGAGCGGCCTCATCTATTTTAAAATAACAATTGATTCAGTTTGGGGTATTTAGTGGCAGCCAGTTTTTAAGAGAGCCACTGTTCCCCATCCTCTGGAAACCTGTCTGCTTTACATTACCCGCCTGCCCTTCCCAAATTCATTCTCTCCCAGGGGTTACAGGGGAGACTCGCAGGCAGGGCCTTCTGGCAGAGGTCCTGCGCTAGGCTGAGGTTTAACATCAGTTTCTGGTCTATGGGATAAGGTGATGAATTTCAACAGAGTGAGATCTTTTGCTTATAAATGGGATCAGTTCAGAAGCCTTCCAGCCTCTTTAGCCATCGCTTGCACGAGGTGTAGAGCTGACAGCGGGAGGCCGTAGCTCGCTCAGCTTTTCTAAATCAATCCATTACTACCTCTGAGTTAACCCCCCAGCTGGCCTACGTGAGACAGGAAAACACTTCAGGTCCTCTGAGGACTAGGGTTTGATTCTGCTACCGCAGGAAAACTGACGACATGGAGGAGGACAGAGTAAAAAAACCAGCTTGACTGAAGTATTAAGTTCGGCTATGGGACAGTTTCAAAAAAATCAGCTTCCACCAGGAATGTATGGTAGATGTTATAGGCATCTTTCACACCAAATACTGCTGCTCTGTGCTCTGGTGGGGTGAGAAGGGGACCTCTGGGGATCTCATACGAGGTGTGTGATTCCAAGTTCCCTGTTTTCAGCTGCTCTTCTCCCTTGCACTGGGACCTTGCACAGGGAAGGGGGGCAGAGAGTTGCCAATGCAAACAGCTCCGCTGCCAGACCAAGAGAGGAGCTTTAGGCAAACACTTCAGCATGCAGGCGGCTCCCTTAGCACACAGCTATGGTTACAAAACACTCCACAGCATGTTCCAGCCCAGGAAATTAAGGTAGTATTA